GTGTCAAGTCTGCCAAAGTACAATGCATAAATGCAATCTCACTTGAATACTGAGGACCCTCTTGGCTCATCCTAATGAGTCATACTAGTGTTAGATCGACACATACCCGTAAATCCTACTGTAAAGGATGCATCAGGTTTTGTACACATATATGACTATCGACTACACTCCTATAAGGGATAATCAATATTCACTTATTTTTTGCTTTAGTGTTGGGACATTGCTCTATACTTATAGTCTGACTCTTAATGATCAGAGTCCCAGTGTTCTCCCTATTGTGCCATGTCAGCAATATGTCATCAATAAATGATGATGATATCTCAAACTCTTATCAGCTCTGTGTAGTTAGACACAATTGTCTTCATCGATCACTATGAAACCATAGCACAATATGATCTAATATAACCGAATAAGTACTGCACATTGGAATATTGTTTCAAGTCATTCGGTAGAGCTATTTAACTTAGGCATCATTTGCTCAAGTCCCTTGTCTTTGAAACACAAAAGTCGATCCGCATTAATCTCCTTTCTAGTTTTCAAGGAGAAAGCTGTCTTGGTGCCCATCTTTTGTTAATTTTATTAGGATTTTTTATTTTTCATGAAATGAGTATCGCGCCCAGGGCGCTTCCCTGAACAACTACCCATCACAAGTCTCCAAGATTTATTATGATTTTTATAAATAAATTTTGGTATTTTAAATGAATTTTCCCACCCTCCATAGTTCACAAAATTTTAGCAAAACTCCACAAAGTTTTAATTAAGAAATCTAGTGGGCCCACATAATAAATTTCTAAAATTTCTTAAAAATTCACAAAAAATTAGAAAATAACAAAAAATACTTTTTTGAAAATTTCTAGAATTTTTATTATTTTCTATATAATTTTCAAAATTTTCTTAAAAAACAAAATAAAATTTTTGGAATTTAAAAAAACACAGAAAGCTCAAACATTTATTAATTTAAAGTTTATATTAGGAAATTCCCTGAATTTTAAGATTTTAAATTTAAATTTTAAATCAAAATCAATTTTTAGAGAATTAAAATACTTTATTTATAACTATTCCCTTAGGGTTTCAAAACCCTAGGGGACTGAATCATAGTAAGGAGGTGGCGACCGCGACGGCAACTAGTATGCCGCCTCGAATCCCAGCGAACCCTAGCCACTTTCACCCTGCATCGAGATGGAAGCCTCTGGTGCCAAAGCTGGGGATTAGCTTGCCACCCTCGCCCCTCGCCAGCGTCCCAAGAACTTGTCGGCTGTAGCTAAGGCTTGGCTTATGTTTTTTTCCAATCCAAAAAATGAAAAAAAAAACTTTCTTTTCCCTTTTTAACATATTTGAAAAAGAATTTTGATAAATTCCTTATTTATCAAAAAATTATAAATCACTGATTTAAAAGAAAGCCCACTAATTTCATACAAAACTGAGCCTTTTTCATAGATTTGACATTCAGGATGTCAAAGATTGGATTTTTTTTAATGACAAAAGTTGAATATTTCATAAAAATTAAACCTTTACATAATAAAAATCATATTTTCCTATTCTATGGTCAAAATCACCATTAAAAAACTAACGAAAAATTCTAGATCTGGCTTTGATACCAATGTAGAATCTGAGTAACTACACACATGCAATAGGTTAAATCTATATCTAGATTATGCATAGAAAAAATAAATAAATACTAGCATGCATCTAGGAAACGTAAACAATAAGTTTATGTATGCCAAACGGATCGTTTCTGTAGGATTACTACAACTGTCTTGATCAAATGACTAAGAACGACCACACTGTGCAACTGGCGAGAAGCCTACATATATCACCGGAATTGCAGCATATAAATCATGAATTCAAAGGGAGAAGGAGATGACGACTTTTATGGCATATTTCTGTCATCACAATGTAAAACCCTAACTTGTATACATATAAGGTACATGATATTATCTCTAATCGAATTAGAGATAAGAATCCTATCCGTCCACTTATTTTGGGCGGTCCCACCTATAAAACCCAACAATAACGAACAGTAAATAGAGAATTTTTTTAAAAAAATGCTCGTGAACAAAATCTGAGAACTAAGGCCCCATTTGGTACGCGGGAATGGGGTGGAATGGAATGTCATTCTCGCTTCTCATTCCCTCATACCAAACAAAACTTGTATTTAGATGTTGGAATGACCATTCCCATGGAATGACCATTCCCACTTTTTGTGGGAATGAGCATTCCAAGTGAGAAGATAGGGAATGATCATTCCCATTCAAGGGGAGAATCAAATTAGTTTTTTTTTTCAATTATACCCCTAATAATAATAAGAATCAATTTAAAAATCATGGTTTTTGACTGCGTATTCTCATTTTCTCTCAGCTACTAATTATATTCAAACAATAGGAATTTTTTGCGGGGTAGGGATTAAAACTAGTGGTATTTCTCTCAGCTACTAATTATATTCAAACAATAGGAATTTTTTGCGGGGTAGGGATTAAAACTAGTGGTACATATTTCAGTAGCATATTAAAACTAGCGGTACATATTTCATTAGCCTATTATATCACAATTGCTCAACATAGGAGCAACACAATTTAATATATAAATAGATACAACTGAAACTATATATTATTTGCCGATTGAAATTCTTTCATGTCAATATTTTTTTTGGTCAATTAAATTTTTTTGTTTATTCACCAATGTTTAAAGTCTGTTATTTTCACCAGCATATTATATTCTTTTTGAACTTTTGCTATTGTTTTCCCACCATAGAGAACTATATGTACCCATTGCGTACATGTTTGATTGTGGTTCATGCACAACAATAAATCTAACTTTTGATTGAAAAATATTTGACCCAATATTTATGAAAAGAGAAAACTCTCGCTGAGAAATTGGCCAAATTATTAAAATTATCAAAATCATATCATGTCTAGACTATATATAGAGGTATAAGGGCATTATTATAACACATACCTAGATTAATATAATATATGCAGAAATAGTGAGAATTGTTTAAAAAATATAAACGAAACATACACCTGATCGATAACATGCGCATTAGTATAACACATGCCTAGATTAATATAACATATGCATAAATAAATTTTTTAGTTATTATCATTAATGTTTATTTTTATCTTATTAAAAATCTATGTTGTTATAAGGGCATTATTAGAAAATGAGAGTTCATTCTCACTTGTGAACTAGTAATACCAAACATGGGAATGGGAATTAGATTTTCATTCTAGCTTCATTCTACAAACGCACTCAAACAAGAGAATGGGAATTAGATTTTCATTCCATTCTCACTTGACTTTATTCCCACGTACCAAACGAGGCGTAAGGTGTTCTTCTTCTATACTAGCTGACCTACATTTTATTAATGACAAGTATCTTTTTTCTTATAGAATAAGCAAAAAATAATAATAAAATAAAAAATAAAAAATAAAAAATATAAAAGAAAAGAAAAACTATAACTTGAAAAATGTAGTCTTGCAATAATTTTAATGGTAAATAAGTTTGCTATGGAGACACCTATATTTCTCAACTACAATTATGCACATTAGTTATAGCAGTTAGGCTATATATATAGATTTTGGAGATGAATTAAAACATATTTTGATAGAAAGATTAAAAATTGTTGCCTCATTGTCGATATGTAGAGGTATATTCTATTGAAATAATGGAGGTTGGAGTTTGAACAGCACAAACTGATGCATAAATAATTTAAAAGACAACTACAACATGTAGAGAATCATTTAAGTCAATTTTTCCTGGAAGGTTTTTAGAGTTTGATATGAATTTTTCTGCTCATAAAAATTTTTTCTGGTGTGATTTATTTTTTAGAAGATATAGCACCTTAAAATATTAATACTTACATTATAACAGAAAATATATATGTATATATTTCATCTAAAAATTTTGTCATATATATATATATGTGTGTGTGAGATCTATATATATAGAGAGATAATTTTCCTTTCTTTTGAAGGTATTTTCATTTCACTTTCCCTTTCCATTTATTACTTTGCGGTTGCCCGCCCAATACGCCAACAATAGATGGAAGTTTAGGGTTAGGAATTGGGTGGTTCATTTTCAGCTTAATTGTACTTAGGGGCTGTTTGGTTGCACACTTTTTGAGAAAACTTTTCTCAAAACATCTGACAATGGCAAATTTATAGTTAAAAGTTTTTCAGAGATTTCTGTAAATTGTGTTTGGTTCAACAAAAAATTTACAGAAATATTTTCTATAAAATATCAAAACCTACCAAATTTTACAAAAAGCAATTTCCTCTCAAAATGAGAGAAAATCACCAGAAATCTAATCTGATACATACCATATTTAATTAAAAACCTATCAAATCTTGTTATTTTCTATAAAGTTATGAGCTATTTTCTTGTTTTGAACCAAACAAGCAAAGTACAAAAAACAAGAAAATTGGTATTTTTTGATTTCTCAAAACTTTTCTTATAATTTTTTTAAGAAATACAAGGAAATCATATTTTAGGTGGAAAACATTTCCTATAATTTCTAGAAATTGAACCAAACACCCCCTTAGATACTCTATAGTCTCCTTTACTTTTCACTTATATAGCCTAGCTTATTTTTGGTAGCGTTTATACACCATTTTTAAAAGTTGCACTTATACACCCTCGCCTGTTTTGGCAACCTTTATATACCTTAAAGTTTTAAAACTTGTATTTAAATACCCAAAAATTTATAAATCTTTCATTTAAATATCCTCAGTCCTGAAAACTTTACAGCATTTAAGTGCAAGTTTAAAAAACTTTAAGATGTTAAAGTTACAAGTTTGAAAACCTCATGATATTTAAGTGCAGGTTTTAAAAACTTTAGGCTATATAAATATTGTCATAAACAAGGGAGGGCATAAAAATGAAAGTTTTAACAACTCTTAAGGCATCTGAGTACTGCCAAAACAATTGAGGTACATATAAGTGCAAGTAGGGGAAACTATAGGGTATTTAAGTGCAACTAAGCCGTTCGTCCATCTTCCCTATACCGGCGGTAACAAAAAAAAGAGAAGCCCACTCGATACTTGGCCCATAACCCAAACCTGTTACGCGAAAAAAAACCTGAAACGGCCTCGCCCCTCTCCGACAGCCGACCCCAGCGATCCAAACCCTAGCTCCGCCTCCGCATCATCGTCGGTTCATCGAGGTAATTTTTTTTTTCCTTTTTTAGCTCTTCTTTTCTCTTTTTTATGTCCTCTCATCCTCTTCGTCCCCTATAAGCTTTAGTTAACTGATCTGGAACATTTGTTGATTAGAGCTTAATGTCGATTGGTCCGTAAGTTCAGGGTTTTTTTTATTTTAGTGAAGCAAGGTGTTAAATGAGCAACCCTGGAAAAGAATTGATTGAGGCCGTTCTGTTTCCACTCTACGGCGATCACAGACTCCGTTTTGTATGAAAGTCAAAAGTGGCCCAGCCCAACCCAAACAAGTGATAGTATTAAAAAAAAAATTAGTTAAAACCCGACCCGCAAACCCAAAACCGACCCGTTAACTCATTAAAGCCCAAATCCATGCCCTAACTAAACCAATTCTCCTCCCGATCTCTTTCCCAAAACCCCTTCATCGCCGCCGCGTCCCACTCTCCGCCGCTTCTCGTTCCTCGCAGCCGCCTCCTCCTTCCCCAAAACCCTGAAACCGATCGCCGCCGCCGCCTCCTCTTCTTCTCTGGAGGCTTCTTCCTCTTCGCCGCCAGCCCTCGTCTTCTCTTTTCAAGGTAAGTTTTTCGTCTTTTTTTCACTGTTTTTATTTTTATTTTATTTTTCTCCCACTGTGATTTACTTGTTGGTAAACAAATATGTGCATGATACAAATTGAACCTCTTCGCTGCGGAAAAGAAAAATACAGTTATACGGAGTTCAGTGAGATTTTGTCGATGAAATTGTCGGATCTTTTACGCGGTTTGAGGATCCAATCTTGATATAATATAGAAACGGTTCGACTGAAACAAATCTTCATGCTGCAGACCTGAAAAATTCCAACCGAGCGGAACTAATCATTGCAAGAAAATCAATTATTATAATTATATAATTTAAGAAATAGCCGAACGTCTGGGTGCTAGGCGCAGGCTTAATCGCGCAGCCCGCCTAGTGCTTTCTGTGTTGGGGAAGATGAGGGGTGATTGGCTCTGAAATGGTGTTTGCTAATGATTGCAACCTAAATGTCGCCATTATGTATATAACCGCCTACGTGACAAAATTCGAAGAAGCCTTCAGCATGGTTGTGCCGATGAGACTCTCTGGGTGTAAGGCTGATATTCTTTTTCTACAACTCGTTGGTAAATGCTCAACGCAGAGCAGCCCAAGTTGTATGAGCCTCTCGGTTCTTTGGTTAGATATGTAAGTAGGTGGAGTCAGTTGCCAGACAATCCCGAACTCTTGAAACATCCTCTCAGACTTGGGGCAATTCGTACCTGAATCTGATCCCTCTCTTCCGCTGTTCTTTGAGGCGTATTTCTTTTTTATGCCTATTGTTGGAGACGCCTCTTTCTCCGTTGACTCCTAGCGCTCTCTCTCTCTCATTCATTTCGTTAATTATCGAGGGACTCTCTTCTCTCTCCCTCTTCACAATCTAGTGGTAGATCTGTGGAGACTGCGACTGTAATGGAGAACTTTACAGTTGGGTTTGAGAGGATTTTGTTGCTTTTACTCAGTTAAAGGGGTTGGTTTTCGGGAAATTTGCTGAGTTGTTTCATTTTCTTAATTGAAGATTGGTTTTTTATTTATGCATATTTAACTCACTCAATTACATGTTACTTTTTTGTAATTTATTTCTGTTTGGCGTTCATGTAGTTTTTGTACTGGAATTCTTTTGCTTGATTTTTAATTAAGACCGCATCTCTTTATCAAATATAAGCATTGTTTTTAAAAATTTTCCTTATATTTAATAACAATCTAACAAGAAAGGGATTAGTTTTGGGACCAGGATTTTAAATTTCTGTAGATTCATTTTAAGAGTCTAGGATGTTTAAAGCTGAGGTGTGGCATTTTTGTCTTGTTGACTGTGTGGCTTAAGAGGATGGACGATTTATTGGGTTCAACCTGTGTCAATTTATCAATTTATAGGAAGGCTGCAATACTCTTCTGCAAATGGTCAGGGGTCCTAACCATGTTTTATTTACACGATTTGACATTTTATTTGTTTAGATTTCATTTCCGACATTTGTGATATGTATGCACATTATCTAATATGACCCTCTGATATTTACTGAATATCCTTCATATTTGCAGTAACGATATGTAATTTTGCCATCCAATGTGTACCTGAAATGTGATATTTAGAACCATGTTTATAGTGCAATGATCTCATCTTTCTCAACCATAACTGAGCAACAGATGCTTTGGGTGTAAATGGATGGAGAATTCTTTCTGTAGGCTTATTCTTCAGACATGTTTTGCTACTCAAGTTTTTTGCTTTAGAACAGGAAATGTGGAAAGCAACCTAGCATGTTATTGGGTGACATTGTCAATAGACATCATGAAAGTTAGATATTGACACATGTTTTTGATACATTATGTAATGTAGGCGAGATTGAGTGGGATTGCTAAATATAGGATGACACAATTAGTGAAGAAAACTTGCCAAGGGATTGAATATCATCTTATCATCAGTCCATTCAGTTATCCTGGAAAGAACACAAATGGGGATTATTTGATACAATTTAAGCTGTGAACTTCAAAGAAAATCATGGTTGTTTGTGTTTGGTTGCTATACCTCATTTCTTACTCATAAATTTCCTATAATATAACAACTATTTCATTGTGTTTATTTAATTTATATGACTGGCTTTCTTTTCTCAGTATCCCTGGGAAGCTCCTTATTCTGGTGTACAAATATTATTTTGAATAAAATTTTGTCTCATATGTTTGTTTTTCTCTGATAATAATCATTTGAATAGATAACTAGATTTTTTTTAGTGTTACCTTTATATTGCAATTAGATGCCACAGTTAATTTTAATTGTTTAAAGATTCCAATTGACATCCTTTTTCTTGTGATAAATAAATGCAGTGAAGTAGATACACTAGTCCTAAGAACATGGCAATGAATTGCACAAGATCACTGAAACACATCTATACCATTGACAAGGCCATTAATATGATTGCCATCAGAAGTTTCGCTGCTGGTCCTAAATCAAAAAAGAGTGGAAAAGGAGCTGGCGATGCTCCAAAGGAGTCTGTCCTGACCAAAGAAATGAAAAGTACCACTGTGTTTGGAGCCAATATCTTGAAGGAGGGCACTGATCCTAAAATACTGCCAGATTCTGAGTACCCTGACTGGCTGTTTCACTTGCTAGACAAACGACCTCCACTGAGTGAACGTTGAAACTCTTCCATATGAGGACCTAAAGCGTTTTGTTAAGCTTGATAACCGATCAAGAATAAAGGAGAACAACGCTGTCAAGGCAAAGAATTGATTTAAGTGTACATCAGATCTTTCTTGATTCTTATTGTCATGTCATAATGTGGAGTTTAGTCTTGAAGGGCTTGAAAGAACTCTGTTACGTGTAAACTTTTAATGAGTATGAGATGCCATGTAAGCAGCTTTTTATCTGCTCTAATTTCAATTTAGACCTGTGATTATGATGTTCTCGCAAGGCATTGACCTTGTTTTGATCAATGCAGTACCTTTTTTAGTTTGTTGCACCCTGTATGGTATATGACAAGCATGTCACTTGAAACTTAACATATGTGATGTATCCTTACTACGTGTTGTTTCATTGTCAATGGAATTGGCAGTTTAATGATATGAGTTATCAAGCATCTATTCTTGGAATCTGGTGATGGTAGTATCAAGTGTGTAAGGGCTGAGCTTGTAAAAGTTTACAGCAGATTCTCAGTTATGTTTGTGCTTGAGTGTGGCCTCCTGTCAATGTCTTGGTATGTGGGGTTCAGCCGATGATAGAATCGATTAGATCATAAAGGCTTCTTGTCTAACAATATTTATCGGCTTGAATCCTGCACTGGGTTCAAATATTGTGCGTTCAACATGAAGTACTTTGGAAAATAACCAAACTTGCCAACACTAAACAGAGGAAATACACCAAAACTGCAGACATTAATTAGCTACATATCCGCAATAATAATAAATCAAAGTCGTTACATTTTCTACAATCCTTCTAGGCAAAATCTCAACAGATGCAAGTACTCTTATGCGATGACGAAAAGTTGACTCGCTCTTTCACTATCATATACATCGCAACCGCCTCCAATGAAATAACATAAGCAACCATCCAGCTCAAGAAGCAACCATCCAGCTCAAGAAGGCTTTTATGGATACAAATATATAGACCTCGTACTCATGGAAGGTGACTGTGAATTGTAATTATGTACAGCACACCTAAGCCAGGAGATGCCAATTAATACAATTGTTGCTGCAATTTGAAACTATGAACTTCCGAAACACACTCTAGGACATAACCCAAATGGAAAATTAGAATTGATTTCGAAGGAATGTCCATGGCCCCCTTGCTGTCCCTATCCTGCAAAGACAATATTTAGTCGCATAACCACATCAACATCGAGACAAAGAAAGAAGTTGTATAACATAACACTATCACACAACAACGATAACAAGCCTTTATCCCAAATTTTTGGGGTGAGTTGTAGATAGCTGTTCTTCATCTAGGCCAAGGACTGAGACTATCAGAGTAGAGTTTTATTTTGGTGCTAATCACCATGCAACAAATTACTTCTATGATTTTACTTAAAATAGAGAAGAAGAAGAAGAAAAACTACGATTGCAATTTAAATTACCTCCAAAAACCAGCCAACATTCTTAGGCTCATGTAGATCGATAAAGCCACCCAAAGTCCAATGAAGCCATGACTTGAAGAGAGGATAACTAAGCAAATGATGCTAATAATGGCCACAAGGACCTGGATGGAGAAGCACGTCAGTAATTCACATGAGAATCATAATTCAACTCTTTTTTTTTTGTATAATCTAAGAATACGGAGTTCTTTAACTTGCCATTGAATATGCCGAATATGCAAAGTCTGATGCTCCAAAATTGATGCCGTCAAAAACAAAGGCTAAAGCGTTAATTGGTTGAGTGAGCGCCACAAACTGGAAGTACAGAATAAAAATTAGTCACCGTGAAACTGTGACTCCTCAATTTAGGACTATAGGTTGCTCTTCGCTCATTATTTGACATAAGCATTATATTTGTAATTTGCCAAAATGAGAAAGTACCGGGATTCCAATGTGAATGAGATGCAGCACGTCAACATCCTTGGTAAATAGTCTTGATGCAAACTGCAAACCAATTCCAAGTACAGCACAAAGGACCAACCCCAGAACCATACCCCACTGTGAAACAAAGTTCATGAAAACTTTCTTAATTGAAAAGAAAATAAATAAAATTTAAAATATGAATATTCAAATATAAATGATCTCACGGCTGGATACAAACCTGTAAAACACGGGATGCAGCGGCTGTTGCCCTGTGGTGTTCTTTTCTAGCGAACGCACTTGCCAGTATTGCCTACAATGAACCTGAAATTAATTAACATATGCAAGAAAAATATGGAAAATGTATTAAATTAGTACTTTATTTTAGTTATCATGAGCGGACCGGTGGCAAGACACATTAATATGCAAGATTTTGCTAAGACAGGACATTGACATTGCAATGAACTAAACAAAGCGCAGCTAGATATACAAGGTTAGAAAAGAGAGTGAGGATGTGATGTAGGACAAAAAGCTATGTAGGTTCGAAAAATCAAAGTCTCCGAGTTAGAGTCAATTTAGGAAATAAATTCAATGCTAGAGTCAAATTAGATTAGGAAAGAGATTCAATTTTGATTCATGATTTGTTTCCTCTATTATAGGGAGTCTTTTTAGGGTAGGATTTGATACTTTTTTTTACTTTGTAATTCTAGTCTTACTAGGAGTCTTGTTTGTTTTTCTATTTAAGATGAGTCATGTAACCCGAAGATGAATATCTTGGAATTAAATAAAACTTCTCCTGAAAAAAGTATTGGTGTGTTTTATTGAGTTTGTGGAAGAAGTCCTCGTGGCAAGGCTCTTCTGTTTTCGCCGCTGCGTCAGGATGATATTTTGTGTGTGCATTCAGATTTCAAGCATGCATGTGTGCAGGTTAAATGCTTCCAGTTGTGTGGTGTTGGACTTCAAAATAAAAAATTCATGAAAATAGACAACAGTTTTAGTAACGAAAATATTTAGACAAGTTGAGATGTGCATTTTATGGGCAAAGCCAGCATGTGCTGGCAAAGTGAAAGGAGAAGATCCAGGGAATGGGTATTTCTAAAGATGGCCTATTTCATTACCCAAATAAGATACAACTATGCAAATGCTTGGTGTCAAAGGACACCCTTCCGCCGCACCAAACTCCAAAGTGTGGCTAGGGTTAAGGGTTAAAATATTTATACTCTAACATGCCCCTGCACCCCTTTGTTTAGGCCAAAAACTGGATCACAAGGCAGTGTCCTTTTCTAAAATCCAATTTAAATTTGTGGCCGATGGGCATTAAACCTGGATTACTTCGATACAATGTCAAAGGACCCTGACACTGCACTAAAACTCAAAAGTTGCAGGTAGGGTTGTGGTTTATAATGCTTATGCTCTAACACTTGGAACCAATGACACTATAGAAAGAGAAATAAAAGTCCGAAGACAGGAATTCCTTGAGGTACTTGTACAACCATGTGATCATTACAATTTCTTTTTATTTTTTACCTAAGTTGAGATAGGTCAGAATCAGTTATGTGAACCCAAATGAGATCAATTCTCTTAAATATGTCTTGATCCATTAAGATGATGGTATTTCACCAATCAACAGAGAGAGAAATGTTAGAACCTGTCCAGCAACAGCTAATCCATCAGCGAGAAGAGATGTTGCCAACCAAACCTGCAAGCAGATTTGGAAAGCAGCCATCGGAATTGAACCTTGTCTTGCTGCCATTGATGCTGCAAGTGTCACACAAAAAGTTACAGCTACCACCCTCATTAGTAAGAGGAAACCTGAAATATAAAAAGGATAAAATCAGTGAGTACATCTTCACTGATGAAAGTGCGAATTTCGCTGCATAATAGTTCCATCACGTTTAAATGAAGTAGTAACAAGTACCATTTTTAAGGAAGCGGCCAAGTTGCAGATCTTTAATAGTAGGAGGTAGCACGTCAACTTGTCTCAATAATCTCCATAGTAGAATTAATGCAATCAAGTATCTGCAGACAATGTTGTTAATGTTAGGATTGCGAACAATACAGTAATTACTTATGACTGCATCATAAAGACATTAAGATGTGGTCGTAAGAGAAGTACAACTTACTGAGAAATTACATGCGCAATTGCTGCACCACTGACGCCTAAATGGAAAACAAACATAAAGATCGGATCCAAAATTATATTGGTTGCATCTCCAGCCACTGATTTATCAAATAAAAATATATTCTGTTAGACAATGCTATATAATTTACTGAGATGAAAACATAAGAATCTGATTCTATCAGAAGAAAACAAAACATTTTCCCACAATATATAGTTTTGTTTCCTTACCGGTTGCATATAATGGCGTTTTGGTGTCCTTGAGACCTCGAAAGACCCCTTGCATGGCCAAAGAGAGGAGAACAGCAGGAGCGCCGAGGGACCTTAATGTTAAATATTGACGTGCTGGGGTCAGCATAGGTGAATCCTATTGAGACAAAAAGACACGTTATTTAAGATGCATCCTCCAAGATGCGAGGAAGTTTAAGTAACAGAGACCCTGCGATTAAGGGATTGCAGTATACTCACAGATTTAACTCCCATGAAAGCCAATATAGGTATCGCTCCAGAGATAAGAAAAAGGGCTTGGAGAAGGCCAAGTACTCCACCAATTACTAATGCTGACGAAACCGATGGAATATGTTTTCGCTCAGACTCAAGTTTGGCCACAGTTGTTACATTATCGGAGGAAAATGATGAGTGGTTTTCTCCCTTCTCGGTATCTAATCAGCCAATTGCAAAAATAGTTCAAAGAAACATTAACCGTCCAAGTTAACTGCAAGTAAAATGTGTTTAGAATTGTTCATACCATTCGTCGGAATTAATTCTTTTAATTCACTGTTTTCAGAAGAACACCTTTCTGAATCTCCACTTTCAAGCTCAGTAGCCATTTTTGAAGCGGCATCGTCCTCAGCAACGAAGGAGGTTGTGACACTAACAAGTGGAAATATTGCAATCCTTGATACCTGGTTGAATACTGCAATAGACACACCAACAGCTGCAAGCTCAACTGGGCCTGCAATTGATGAACAAAGATTATCAATCTATTCGTTGGCTAAAGAAAATGCAGGACACGGATTGTTGAATATATTTTAATGGACTTTTTTTCATCGCTTCTCTGCTCCTTCATAAAAGTGCACATGGAAAGGGCTTTTTCCCTAGTAATTGATTAGATCTTTATATTGGTAATTGGACCATCATTTTTAAGTGAATTGAATGTGGTATGAATATCTTTATATGCTTAATTATGCTATTTAAGTTGTTTGTATCTCTCGCTGTTTAATTCATGCCGAATAGATAACCACAAGAAATATCACCCAAGAGGGCCTAGCCGTGTTGATAAGCTGCCTATGAGTAGCGCTCAAATGTCTCAGGTCCGACTCTCCTGGGGAGCACCCACAAGAATTTAATTTTTTTAGAATACCCAAAAACGTGCATCGGAGGTGCCCCTTAGCCACGCTCAGGAGTTTGATACCCATGATCCGAAGGATCATGGAGAGGTTCCCTCGTCAAACCAAAAAAAGAAAATACTAATTTACCACAAAGAAGGGTAGAGTAAACTATTCACACAACCAACCACAACAATAAGGACACAAGGCTTGATTTTATTATAGATCAACCACTAATTCCAGGCCTATTTGCACTCAGGAACAAAGAAATTGAGATCATGGAAAAAAATTCATAAAAATACCACAATTTTCAACTGACTTCTCTTGATCAACACCCCCATGATAAAAAAAAATTATAAAAAAAAACTCATTACAATACATATAGGCAATCGATCCGATAAAATCATAACAATTAAGAAACCAACGTTCTATGAAAATCACAAAAATTCTAATATAAAAATGAAAAGGACCTAAAGAACCAAACCTATCTGTCCAATGAAGGCAGTATCAACGAGGGAAGCAACAGGATCAGCAGTAAGAGCAAGTGCTGCAGGAAACGCAATCTCTGCAATCTCCAACCCCAATTCATCCAGCTTAAACACATTCCTATACACAAAACCACAAAACCCAAGTCTTGTTCAGTAAGAATAATGATTAAAAAAACCCAAATTATATTTTTAAAGAACAGAATCAATTTTTGATCAATGGGTACCTTGCATCTTTGAAGAAAACTTGAAGAGGGGATGATGACTGCTCTTTAGACATCAATAAAGAACTGGGAACTAACGACTCATCCAAGGCAGCCATGATCACTGGATATCCTCCATCAAGCCCAGCTTGAAATTCCTAGCAAATTACAACTGCAGTTACACTAGAATCAGATGAACAGACAAGAATAAAGAATCACCACCACCTTTGAACTAATTCTGCTTTCTCTCTCCTCAAGATGCCAAACAAGAGAGAGAGAGAGAGAGAGAGAGAGAGAGGTTTACTTGTACTTGTTTCTATCTCTATAGCAAAGCATCAAAAGTACAGTTGGGAGTGTTTGGGTGAGGACACACTAACCAGCTAAGGAGGTGCAAATAAGCCTGCAGAAGAAAACATGAGAAGAACCTGGCTCTGTTGTAGCCTGTCCTCAGTAAGCCTTAATGGCTTCAACACCTAGTTTATTACAAGAACCTCAAAAGCCTCAAAAGTTGCAGTAGAATTCTTCTATGGGACCGTAACTATTTGTTGTAGCCTTTCACATAATATTTATATCTGGTTTCTCTAATAAATGTTTGTGAATCACATTATGAACGCTTTAAAGAAGGAGGAGGAAAAAAAAGTAACCCAAGTGACTTTTCTTCTGCTCGTCCACCAGTTGCTTGTGTCGTTATGTATCACATTTTTTGTCACTAAAGACATAGTTCAGCAATGTGATTTGATACATAGAAGCTTCCAATTTGAAGATAGAGGTACAATTTATGTTTAAAATGATATTTATAGGGGGAAAAAAGATTGGTTGGTTTTAGACGGAAGAAATAAGATTAATACGTAACAAGGTCCTAATGATATATATTTTTAATATATTTTATCTGATATTTTGTATTGCTTCTTTAGTTGTTGATGCAGTTTGGATAATTTGAAGGGTTTTTTCATAGAAGCCGCCTTTAAACTATTATCATTCTATAAAAACCACCTTCGACTTCTAATTTATATGCATAAACCATCTTTAAAGTATTTTTTTGATGCAATCAACCACCTGGGCTCACTTTTCGGTTAATTTTTCTCAGTTATTGATCCCACCTAACCTACATTAAGAATAATCTCTCTAATATACTTGGAATTAAACAACTAATGATCATAGTAAAATCAAAAAACTTGACTTAAAGGTGAGTCCTTGCGGTTGATTACAACAAAAAATTGCTTAAAAATAGTTCGTGTATAAATTGACAATCAAAGATAGTTTCTGTAGAATAACTCTATTTTAAATGTGCTTTTCGGGAACATTTGAAAGACTAATATAGAAAGAAAACAAAAAAGGGGAAAATGGTTCCATCCCCTAAAATCAAAAAGCAAATATCCCACACCCAAAAGACTTAGTCAAGAAGTCAAAAACCCCTTAAATCAATCTTTTTGGCATCTAACCCCAAAATCTAGTACCACCTAAGCAATACTTTTTCATTCCTCAGTATACCCCTAATTAATGTCCATGTGAGCTCCTCTCTCGCTCTCCCTCTCTCTTCCCTCATCATCATCTCCCTCCTCTCTTCTCTTTTCTCTCTCCCTACACCATAGTCATTACGAACAAGCTCTCATACTCTCCTCTTTTCTCTCTCTCACTCCATGGCCATTACCAATGAGCTCTCATCCTCCCTTTTCTTTTTTCTCTCGCAACACTCTTGTGGCCACTACCAACCAACCCGCTCCCCCTCCACGCCCCGCCCCCCCGCCCGTCCTCCCCCCACTCCCCCCACCACCCCCCCACCCTCAAAACTTCATTCTCTGGTATCCCATCCCCAACGTCTCTCCGTCCACCCCATCTACATTATCACCTCCTTTCATTCTCCCCCACTGGGCCCACCATCTCTACACCACCCTCAAACTCATCCTCACAAGTTTCTTTCTTCTCTCTCTTAATCTTCTTTGGAATATCACTATCATACACCCACCACCTATATTTCCTTCCGTCGCTCCTCCTCTGGCAACACCATACATTCACCTCCCCTCCCTTCCCTCTTTCTCCTTCTCCGGCAACACCTACCTCAGCTTCTTTGGCCCACTATCAGACAAGCACTCCCCAATCTCCTCTCCCTTCTCTCCTCTCCTCGACATCCTTTAAATCTCTGCATCCCTTCCCCTACACCACCTCACATCCACCCTCTCCTACCATCCCACACAGCCTTCAAACTTGTCCCTAGAATTTTATTAATTTTCCTCTTAATCTCTCAAAACTAGGGTACAGGGATAGCAACGGCTCAATTTAACAACAAATATATAAAATTAACAATTAACAAGATAAGCTTAACAACTAATACCTATGTTAAACAACTAATGAAAAAGCTTAATAACAAATGCTTAAGCTTAACAACCAACGCATAATAGCTGACGGAAAGTTCAACAAACCCATAAGCTTTAATAACTAATGTATAAGCTTAACAACAGACTAAAAACCTTAACAACAAAGCTAAGCTTAACAACCAATGTATAAACTTAACAACTAATAGAAAAGCTTAAAAACCAATATATAAGCTTAACAACTAACAAAAAAGCTTAACAACAAATTCATAAGTTCAATAACTAATGGAAAAGCTTAACAAACGCATAATTAACAACCAATGCATAAGCTTAACTACCAACACATAAGCTTAACAACTAACATATAAACTTAACAATCGATGAAAAAATTAATAATAAACACATAAGTTTAACAACCAACTCATGAACTTATATAGCTTAAAGACAAAAAAAACTTAATAATAAGCATATAAGCTTAACAACCAATGCATGAGCATGGTTGTTAAATTTATGTGGTTGCTGAAGATGACCAATGCTCGTTAGTTATGTAAGCTGAAGATGACCAAGTGGGCCCTCGATTCCCTCATTGACCCTACCTCTAAAATTCATGGGCCTAGTTCATAGCCATCACTGGTGGAGGTCCAGTGTGCTCTTGCTCCTATCAATATAGAACCCGTCATTAGGGGAGGGGAGGGTGGTAGTGTAGGAGATTGTGGTCTTCAGCAACCATGTAAGTTTAACAACCAGCACTCGTCAATTACATAAGTTTATGTGCCAGTTGTTAAACTTATTGTTATTAAGTTTTTTATCAGTTGTTAAGCTTATACATTAGTTGTTAGGTTTTATGCATTTATTAAGCTTTTTCGTCAGTTGTTAAGACTATGTGTTAGTTGTTAAGCTTCTATGTTGGTTGTTAAGATTATATGTTAGTTGTTAAGTTTTATCCTTATTTGTTAAGCTTATAGGTTGGTTGTTAGTTTTTTATTAGTTGTTAAGCTTATATGATTTTTGTAAGAATTTTTGTCTGTTGTTAAGCTTATGCATTGCTTGTAAAAATTTGTATTAGTTGTTAAGCTTATGTGTTGGTTGTTAAGCTTATGTGTTTGTTGTTAAGCTTATTCATCGGTTGTTTAGCATAGCTATTGGTGTTAAGCTTATCTCGTTAGTTGTTAACTTTATGTCTTTGTTATTAAGTCGTGCTGTAGACATCCATGTATTCAATTTTTGAGTGATTAAGAGGAAAATTAAGAAAATTATGGCAACAAATTTGAGGGTGATGAGGAATGATGGGCCTAGGCAGAGAAGATGAGGGAGGTGACGGGGCAGGAATGGGTGGACGGGAGAGGATGTAGGGGATGGTGTTGGATAGCAGGTTATTCGGCCAAACAGGATTCCTAGTCTATTTTGGTTTTGGTTTTAGAATTATTGGGATTCCTAGTCTGTTTTGGTTTTGGTTTTAGAATTGTTGGATTACTCGTCTGTTTTGGTTTTAGGATTTCTATATATATAGAACGTTTTAGTGAGAGAATGATAGGTTGTTTTGAGCACTTTGAGAGGAAGATTTCTGATATGTGAGTTGAGATCTTTTGGTGAGGGTTGTTTTGAGTATTTAAGAGTTGTAACACATTATTTTTCTCCTCCATATAGTGAAAAGTCCCCATCCTCTCCCTGTTGACATAGGCAATTTGCCGAACTACGTAAATCTCTATGTTTGTGATTGGTTTGTATCGTTCTTTTATGTATTTCACTCGTTGATTGTTCTTCTCTCTTGTTCGCCGACTTGTTCGGTTCGTACGCACGCTTCCACCGACGCTCAACAATTGGTGTCAGAGCTCTAAGGTTTCAGACATAGGGTTTATTTTGGGTGGAGGAAAATTCGTTATTGGAAGCTTGGATCTTGGAGATCTAGGCTTCAGTGGAGATAGCATTGCGGAGTTGCCAGTTGGAGATCTCGCCTTCCTCATGTGGTTGGGAGTTCGTGTTGGAATCCAATCTAGGTTTCAAGTTGGGTAATTTCTTAATTCTATCAGTTGTTCAAATTTTCTCAACAATTTAGAGTTAGCAAGCAGGCAGAAGATAGTGGTGAAAGCAGCAAGGCTATGGCAAGTACAGTTCATGTTACACTTCAGAATACGAAGATCAGTGTTGTGAAGTATGACGGCAAGATCAACTTTGGGTTGTGAATGAGTGATGTGCAGTATGCTTTGAATGCTCAGAACTTAGAGGAGACCATCATGATCCATGAGAGGTCACCAAAGTATGATAAGGCTATATGGGACAAGATGAATCAAAAACACTTGTGGGGTAATAAGATCTTGTTTGGAACAAGAGTTGAAGTACGATGTAATCGGTGTGACATCTGCGATGAAGATGTGGGAGATTCTCAATAATAAATATCTTACGAAGAGTGTTGAGAACCGATTGTACTTGCTACAAATATTGTTTAGATTCCAAATGTCCAGGGGTACCTCACTTGCAGCTCATGTGAACAACTACACAAAGTTATTGTCGGACTTGGCGAATGTGGATGAGAAGATATCGGATGAGTACAATACGATTATTTTATTAGGCTTCTTACCCGATGAGGAGTATGATACATTTGTGCTCACTTTGTTGAATGGTAGATCTTCCATCACCTATAGTGAAGTGACTAATGCGTTGACGAATTTTGACTTGAGGAGGAATGATAAAGAATTTTTCAGATCTAGCACTTCAGGAGAGGCCTTGTCGACGAGAGGTAGGAGTCCCTATCCGAGAGGTGGTAACAGAGGTAGGACAAAGTCAAGATGCCATTATCAATTAACAAAGAACCAGTGTGCTTTCTGCAAAGAGCAAGGACATTAAAAGAGAGATTGCTCGAAGCTCAGAGAGAAGGAGAATAGCAAGAAGAATGGCTCGAAGGCTTGCTAGGTGAATGTTGCTAAGAGTGATAACAATTCATATGATTCATGTTTTTCTCTATTGATTACTCCAGAGGTTAACTATGCTGATGCAACGGATTGGATATTTAATTCTGATGCTACTTATCATGTGACCCACCGACGAGATTGATTTGCATCTTTCGAGAAGCTCGATGGGGGTGTGGTGGTCATGGGAAACGATCAGTCATGTGGTATTTGTGGGATAGGTACTGTCAGGATTCGGATGCACAACGGAGTTATTCGTGAGTTGAATGAAGTAAGATTTGTTCCTCAGCTAAAGAAGAATTTTATTTCCATTGGAGTTTTGGAGGCAAAAGGATTCAATGTGACTTTT